AAGTAATAGCAATTAATTTAACAGAAATTATTTATCTAATTATATTCATTAACTTTCAATTATTATTAGAATTAAGAGAAAGGCTACATCAGCTTATATTCTGAACTATAAGTAATGAATGATAAAATTACTTATTAGTATTCTGAATTATTGCTCATTACTTATTCTAAACTATAAGCAATGAATGATATAAAGTTACTTATTATTATTCATTACTTATTCTGAACTATTAGTAATGAATGATATAAAGTTCTCCAAGTCAATTTTTCTTTTTTTCTCTGGTAGATGAATAAATCTTAGCATTTTAGATGTCTATCGTGCTGTTTTAATCGTTTACAAAACTGATACCACAGCAATCATTCGAGAAGATTAGGTTTAGGTTTTAAAGATTATTAGAGGCATTGATAATTGATGGATGAGGCAATTAACATTTCTTCCACTCAAAGGTTTGTAGAGAAAAATTATTCAGATAAGTTAATTTTTAATGACAATATTTCTTTCTCGATGAAATTTTGTTTCCTACCTTCTTTCCTTTAAATGACCAATGGCTTTTTATTTTAAAAAAATGATAGAGAATTATGATATAGAATCGCCATTTTGCAAGGATCACAATTCTCTTATATGTTTATAATATTCTATTAAATAAAATGAAAAGAGAAAAGTATAATTGCAGTATCACTATTGATTTGATTCTTGCAAAAAATCATTAGCGGGCATTACTCTTTGCTTTACGTATTGCTATAATCGATTGTTTACACCTTGCTGGCTAATAAACATTATCATATGACAATGTTCAACTCATTATTGATATGGCAAGTTATTGTAAAATTTGAATTGGATTCGAATAGACATTTTAATTTCCAGAATCTCCGATAAGTCTTACAATTTTTATCCATGTAATAAGGCTGAAAGATAACAAAAATCTGAAAGAATTCGGAGAAACATTTACTGGTTTACCAATCTTTTCATTAGCACTGATTGTTCGAAGCCATGATGGATCAGAATGTAGGAAATGCGGAACTGAGAAAGAAAATAAAGAAACTTTTTCGACACTTATTCTAACAATTTTTGCCTTATTATTGATGATCACACTGTAATGAATTAATACTTTCATGGAAACAATTTCAGGATTCTATGTCTCTCATCGATTAGTATAGTAATAGCAAATAATGAATCAGTTAAAGTTGTTTCACAATTTGTTGAAAAAGGTTGGATTGTTGGATTAAAAAGATTGTAGTATGAAAATACTTAAAGTCCTACGTACAATATATGAGTATATTAGTATTATTGGATGCTGCTACATTCTTAGAAATCCTTTTCCTCAGTCACAGATAATGATAATATTATTATGGGAGTGCAGAGAATGAAATGGAAAGTAAAAATAAATCAAATCAATATTTGAATACAGATGATCCGGAACCTTCGCTGCATGGTATTGTTCGAATTTATTCGACACGATTTTGTCCATACTGTGAAAGAGTTCTCATTGCTGCGCATAAGAAAAACATTCCGTTAGTCTTTTGAAATTTAAGCATATGAAATAAATTTATTAACATGATTCGCATGCTCTTTTTTGTTTCAGATTTGATGTTTTATATACTAACCCTCATAAGAGACCAAAATGGTTCTTTTTGAAGAATCCAGAAGGAATTGTACCAGCTCTAGAACATAACGGCAGAGTTCGTTCATTCACTTCATTTCAAGAGATTTATTGCATTTCGCCATATTCTTGAAAGCTAAGTCGAGTTGAGTAAGTGGAATCAAAGGATATTGCTTCCTTTTATAAAAGTTATAAATATAGCATTGCAGCTGATAAATGATTCCCGAGTGATTATTGAATATTTGGATGAGGCATTTCCGGAAAGAAACATTTTGTCCAATGAACCATATGTAAGAGCAAAGCAACGATATTATACAACTAAATTAGAACCGGTAGGTATACTCATTGCTTTTTACAAGATCTTCACCTATTTGCACTTTTTATAATAACTGCTTATTGTAGATTTGTGAAACAATAAAACAAATGTCATATTTGACAAAACTAGTCGATAACACTACCATTCTTGCAACGAAACTTGCCGCTGCTGAGAATTTACTACAATCGCCTTTCTATTCAGGTTTCTTTACTTCCTATCTTTATTTCATTTATTGCAAACTACTCCCTGCCCATTTCTTACATGTTTTCCTAATATTTTTTTATTTAAAAGTTAAATCCAATTCTTTTTCTCACTTTTGATTTAAGTTTATTTTGATAAATGCAGGTGAAGTACCTAGTTTACCGGACATTATGTTATTCCCATTCATCCATCGATTGCATGTCATCCGGAAATTCGGTAGAAACAACTTCCTTGACAATTACTTCCCGAATAACTATCCAAAACTTGTAAAATGGTTCATCACAATGCGTAATACGCCAGAGGTAACCGTTATTTGCTAAAAAATGAATACATCACAATGTTTTCTAACATCTTAAAAATCCTCAAAAATCGAACATCAAAATTAGCAATGGTATAATTATCCTCTGTTGCAGATCCAAGCAGTTCAAGAATCAGAAAAATACTTAAAGGATTTCCTCAGCGGAATAAATAGCAAAACAAATCAAAATGCTACTAATTTCAATGCCGAGATCAAATCTGACTCCAACCCTCTACACCACTAGCATAAAACTTCTCAACGATTCAATCGTTCAATAATAATTAAATTCGTGCATCAAATGCATAAAACCAAGAGAAAAAGGAATAGCTTCACTTTCTTCTTTACTTCAACGAATTTTAATTCTTAATAAATAGAAAGAATATCATTTTGGGATGTGAAAGCGAAACATTCCTCTTTCAATCTTCCCTTTTTCAGTTTTTTTAATGTGCAAAATATTTGTTGCATCCATCGAACGCTTACTTAAATTATTAATTGAAATCATAAACAATAAAAGCATGGCATTAAAATTACCATCAAAACCTTCGATGTAAGACCAGAGAACTTAAATGGAATTGCATAATTGCGTGTACTGTGATATTTTAAAAGTCTTTACCCGCAAAGAATCGTATTTGATACAGAGATTTCATTTTTAATAAGTACTGGAATTGATGAACTGCTAAACATGAAAGTTCAAAAAAACCGAAAGATATATTCTATTCTTTGCTATCTTAGGAATGAAAACAAAAATTAAAGATTAAAGGTATAAAAATATGTTCACATAACCCGAAAGATTGAAAAATTTCGTTGTTAAGCTCTTACTATATAAGTAAATCCTTTCGAAGCAAATCACATAAATATCTCAAAAAGAAAGTTCCTTCATATTTAAATCCACTCAATCTTTCCATTCCTAAAATAGATGTGTTACAAAATGGCAACAAAATTTTTTCATAAAATACACACTTAACTCAGAAATAACCGATTACCTTCTTAAAATAAAATTTGTGTTTGAAGTGTCTAGATTCTACCACTACAAGAAAATAAATAGTAAGCTATCCAAACATATTCCGCGGGATCCATCCTAAATGATTCATTGAAAGAACATGCCGGATCGGGCATATTTGAATATAATTAATATTTGTTGGAGATCTCTAACAGATCTGTTAAGGATCCGATTAGAGATCTCCAATCGGATCTTTAGCAGATCGTGAAAACATCCAGATCCGGAATCCAAAGTAATGTTAGCAACCTAACTTTGAAAGAAAGAGAAAGAGAATTGAAAGAGATAGCATGACTCCAGTAAACAAAATAAGTTGCTAGTTATAATAGCAAATGAGAGGGCTCCACTTGGAGAGATTAAACGAGGTAAAAATTGCAAAAAATAGTGTTATATTGGCAGAGAGAATAAAAAGACTTTGTTCCCCTCGTCCTCACTATTTCATTAAAAATAAGGAGGAAGGCTGTAAACGAGTAGTTTACAGCTACTCATTTCAACTGCAGCAGACAGATGAGGTCCCGCGATGGCTTTTAGATCCCTGTACTTTCAGTACCGCTTTATTTTTTTTGCTTTTTACTATTTAAAGGATTCCTCATCCACTTACTGTAGTTTCCTTTATGGTAGTAGTCATATTGGTTTAGGAAGTTTACCTGAGTAGAGGTTAATGTAATTTTCATTTCACTGTGGCATGGTTGATGAATAATCTGTGTGTGATCAGATAGATCAGCTTTTCGAGATAGTAGTATATGCCGTTGATGCTAATACTGATTACTCTTGACGATCGCCTAGTTCTCGATAGGATGACAAACTTTCATTGCTTAGATTACCATCTTGAGGAAGGTCCCAGAAACACGAGATGTGTACACAAGTCCGGAACAAGTATGTCTCCAATGGTTTATTACAGGTATTCAGGACCAGCAATAGCTCGATGCTACCTGTAGGTCGGGGTTTGTGTCGATTAGTTGCTCATTGCTTAACTCAATATCATGGATCTGTTCAGAGTGCTGCGATCACCAGCTGCTGCTTTACAAGTAAATAATTGATAAATTTCTATATATACTATTTTTCTGAAGATATCAACTTATAGAATGGTCAGAATAGCTTTTTTAATTACATAGGCTTTTTAGATGGACAACGGAATGTTCTGATGAAGCAAACATTTGGAATTCATACAAGCAGTATTAGGTACAAACGTGACTATTATGAAATTTTGGGCTTGAAGAAGGGAGCATCGGCAAAGGATATTAAAAAGGCGTATTATAAGGTGATGTCATTGTATTTCGAATTTGTATCTTTCTGATAACGCTTGCGTATGGTATCAATAAAGCTGTTTATTTTTCTGAGAAATGGAATGTTTGGATTTTTTTCAGCTAGCTAAAGAGTACCATCCGGATGTAAATAAAAGCAAAGATGCCAATGCTCGATTTCAGGAGGTGTCTGAAGCTTATGAGGTTAGTTGAAGAATTAATTAAATTGTTTTGCATGCTTCAATAGTCGCAAATTGCTTTGATCCCGCAGGAAAGTCAAAAATCATACTTGTGATTGTTAAATAAATCGTATTTTGATTCATTTTGAATCTGAATTCTTTGAGGTGCTTAGTGATGATCAGAAACGTGCCCAGTACGATCAGTTTGGCGCAGATCCATTCCAGCAACGTCAGACTGCTGGAGCGACAAGTTACGACACGGGTGGCTGGCAGTATCAGTCAACAATTGATCCAGAAGAGTTGTTTAGGAAGATGTTTGGTAAAAAATTGTAAAACTTGGATACAATTAGATAATTTAATATTTTAATCTGGCATTAAATGTCAGTGAAATACTCAGAAGCCTGTTTTAATAACTTCTCTTTCGATCAATTGGTGTTGGCAGTTAATTGAGATTGGGTGATTTTCAGGAGGACGTAGTCCATTTTCCAATTTTGCAAGTAATTTCGGCGATTTTGCGGAATCAGCAGATGGCTTTGAATCATCAGAGCAACATATTTTGAATATATCATTTGAAGATGCAGCTCGCGGAGCTCAGAAGTCTATGAATATAAATGTTGTTGACGACTGTCCAGCATGCTTCGGAAAAGGAGTTCAGCCGGGTTATAAGAAGGCATTTCTATATAATTGTTACTATTGGTGTTCTTACTTTTGCTGAGTCAACTTTATTATAAGCGATATCATTCGAAGTACTGGACTGTACTTTACGTTTTAATAAATGATAGTTATTATTGTTTATCTTTTGATTTCAGGTTTCCTGTCCGTACTGTAATGGGACTGGTTACGTCACGCAGCAGATGGGTGGATTTTATATGCAGTCCACTTGTGGACGTTGTGGAGGAACGGGTTTTTATAATAAAAATCCATGTTTACAATGCGAAGGACATGGTCGAACAGTTCAGCGGCGTACTGTAACTGTTAATATACCAGCAGGAATAAATGATGGTGAAACTGTTCGAATGCCAGTAGGAAAAGTCAGTTTTGAAGATTTTGTTCTAGGAAGTCTTGCATGAATAAACTCGTGCATTATGTTATTACTCATGTTCATAATTTTTTTCAGTCAACCATTTTCATTACGTTCAAAGTGGCTCCATCATCGCGCTTCCGACGTGATAAGTACGACATTCATTGTGATGTTGAAATATCTATTGCACAAGCGATTCTTGGAGGCACTGTCAAAGTACTTCAATTTTTCTGTTTCTCAAAGCATAGTGTGAAGACTGTTGTCTGTCAGGGAAGTCAAGGGAGAAAAAAGGAAAAGGAATAGAGAAAAGGGAGTTGTCATACATAAAATAAGTAATAAAACATAATTGGGGACAAGTGAGAAGCTAAAAATTCTCTCTGCATTTGAATAATTTATGAATTCTCTAGTAGCCCATAATTTTGAAATGAGCTGGTCGGAGTAAACTGCAATAGTTTCTGTTAACTTAAGGAAATAGAAAAACTTGCCAGCTGACGTGAGTCAGTAATAAAGTATTATTGTGAGATTAGCAGATGAAATCCGAGACGAGAAATTTGCTTTTATTCTAAGAAATATTACTTAACCGTGTTATTAGTTAATTTAGATTGCTTTCTTAGAATGATTCTGTGGCTTTTATTTGTTAGAGCTCTCAGGATTGCAGTTACATCGAAAGTCTCACTGAGATATTTCAAAACTCAATCAATTTCAGTTATTATCTTGTGTTGTCTATTTTTACTATATTTAGTATATGTATTCTTGGAATGTTATCAATTAAGCTAGTTGTTATCTACGAAATATCAAGCAGTACTTTTATCGGGATGAAATTGTACAGGTGCCGGGGATAAAAGAAGACACCTATATACAGATACCACCAGGGACTGCATCGCATACGAAAATGCGTTTGACAGGCAAAGGAATAAAAAAATTGAATTATGCCGGATATGGAGACCAGTATATACATATCATGGTAAAAGTACCAAAGTAAGTGATTGTTTAACTTTACAAAACATTATTGTCACCTCAGAAAGCATTTGTACATTTCCGAGGCAAAATGAACGAAGATTCAAATGAATTTAACTAGTAACGGCTCAACTAGTGGTGAGTTCGTGCAATTCCCGCAAGATAAATATCTGATATTGAGCTTTCATGAAATATGAAAAGAGTAATTTGAAGACTTTTGTACTGATGTAAGCAATTGAGATTTCACTGAGTTGAGCGTCGTTCATAATTTTTATCATTGTAGGTAATTTTTCAGGCTTTTAACTGACAAACAAAAAGCATTGATGCAAGCTTGGGCTGAACTGGAAACTGACACTCCAGGTACGATACAGGGAATAAGCAGTACTGTCGATGGTAGGAGTTCTCTTTCCAACAATTTTTTTTTACCAGCTAATTACGTGCTGGTATTTTATTACTTGAATTTTTGGAAGATATTACAATAATTTAAGAAGTTATCAAGAAATCCTTCATCCCTTAACTTATTATGGATGGCGAATCCTCATTTTCCAAATAAAATGTAGGATTACTTCTTCGTTTTGACTTCTCTTCTTTTAGAAAATGGAAGGAAAAGAACTGGAAGTAGGGCGCCAGTAGTGGAAGATAATGATGGAATAAAAGGAAGTCAAAATGAAGAAGAGAGGTATAGCAAAGAGACGTTTTTAAAACGATTGAAAACGAAAATTTTTGGGATAAAATGAGTTTAGAAGGTAGGCCACAGAACTTCTTGATAGAAAGCGTTAAATTAGTTTAGGGAGGCATTTCTCAAGTACTTTTCTGTTAATACGTAGCATATGTGAATTATTTTCAGGTCAAAAAATAGCCAATGATGAAACTGGCTACAGTTCAAAAATACGAGAAATTCTGAGAAATTTGGAAAGAAAATATTCATCTCAGTCAAGCAGTTAGGATGACAATGATGATAGTAATAACGATGAGCGTTTGATCAAAAAAATATTTTTGTTTTGTGAAAAAATTTTGTTTTTTTGTTGCCATATTGAAACACATCTATTTTAGGAATGGAAAGATTGAGTGGATTTAAATATGAGGGAACTTTCTTTTTGAGATATTTATGTGATTTGCTTCGAAAGGATTTACTTATATAGTAAGAGCTTAACAACGAAATTTTTCAATCTTTCGGGTTATGTGAACATATTTTTATACCTTTAATCTTTAATTTTTGTTTTCATTCCTAAGATAGCAAAGAATAGAATATATCTTTCGGTTTTTTTGAACTTTCATGTTTAGCAGTTCATCAATTCCAGTACTTATTAAAAATGAAATCTCTGTATCAAATACGATTCTTTGCGGGTAAAGACTTTTAAAATATCACAGTACACGCAATTATGCAATTCCATTTAAGTTCTCTGGTCTTACATCGAAGGTTTTGATGGTAATTTTAATGCCATGCTTTTATTGTTTATGATTTCAATTAATAATTTAAGTAAGCGTTCGATGGATGCAACAAATATTTTGCGCATTAAAAAACTGAAAAAGGGAAGATTGAATTTTTTAAGATGTTAGAAAACATTGTCATGCACTCTTTCTATAGCAAATAACGGTTACTCTGGCGTATTATGCATTTTGATGAACCATTTTACAAGTTTTGGATAGTTATTCGGGAAGTAATTGTCGAGGAAGTTGTTTCTGTAGAATTTCGGGATGACATACAAACGGTTGATGAGCGGGAATAACATAATGTCCCGTAAACTGGGTACTTCACCTGCATTTATCAAAATAAATTTTTGAATAATTTTTCTCTTCAAACCTTTGAGTGAAAGAAATATTAATTGCCTCATCATCCATCAATTATCAATGCCTCTAATAATCTTTAAAACCTAAACCTAATCTCGGGTAATTGTTGTAATATCAGTTTTGTAAACGATTAAAACAACACGAAAACATCTAAAATGCTAAGATTTATTCAAGAAAAATCGGCTTTGAGAACTTTTATCATTCATTACTTATAGTTCAGAATATAAGCTGATGTAGCCTTTCTCTTAATTCTAATAATAATTGAAAGTTAATGAATATAATTAGATAAATAATTTCTGTTAAATTAATTGCTATTACTT